TTTTTTTTTTTTTTTTAAGGTCTGAGAGTATAATTCAATGATAGAGTTCTTGCCTAGTATGTATGAGGCCTTGGATTTGACTCTAGAAGGAGAGAGAGAGAGAGAGAGAGAGAGAGAGAGAGAGAGAGAGAGAGAGAGAGAGAGAGAAACAAAAAAGGAAAAAAACCCAAATGCCAAAAGGCTAATACACTGAAAATGTTTACTTCGATAGTGCTTGCCTATGGAGTGCACGGCTCTGCGTGTGTTACTGGCCACTTAGGTTCTTAAGCTCAGGGTCATTTGCTCACTGCTGAAGAAATCAAAGGAGGCACATATAAACAGCAGCAAAAAATTGATTCAAGGGGCTGTGGAGATGGCTCAGTAGAATAAGTGCTTGCCTGGCAAGCGCAAAGGCCTGAGTTCAATTCCCGGTCCTGCCAAAGAAAAAGAAAGAAAGAAATTATTCAAGGCTGGCTCTGCAGAAATGGAAGGGTACCATTGACTCAAATTAGCATCTCACCATGTACAAGTGGGTTGGGGTAAGGGTGATTCCAGGCAGAAATAGAGGGGTTCAGCTGCGTTTTGACCCTTCCTGACCAGCCCTTCTCCCTTGCCTAAGACAAGGAAATAGGACCCAACTCCCAGTGCAGCATCTGAACTGTCCTTCTATTCAGCTACCTGGGCAGGAGCTCTGAGCAGCGCTGAGCATAGGCCTTTGTGCCCAGGGCTGAGGAAGTCTGGAGAAGTCACTTAGTTCCAAAGGAAAAAAAAAAAAAATCTCAGAACAACTAATTTGAAGACAACATTATGCAATACAGCAGCCATTGTTGAACTCCTATTGTTTTGTGTGGGGAAGTTCTGTATCATTTCTTTTTACTATTTTGTATTGTCTTTAGATAATTTAAAAAAAATTATTTTTCAAGTTCCATTTTGTCCTGGATGTTACAGGATGAGTCACCAGGACCAGCCAAGAAGAAAGGATCAATAAATGAGATGCTCACTCCAGGAAAAGAACAGGCGAAGATATGAAGAGGCAGTTCACAAAAGAAAAAAAAAAAAAAAATCTAAGTGCAAAAACCATGAAAAACCTGGTACTCCCCTCAAAAAACATGAAAAAAGTTTCAGAATGACTAGAAATTAGAGAAAAGTCATACCATCAGGAAAGTGATCTTGTTTTGCTTAGCAAAGGCTACAAAAAGAAAGAAAGAAAGAAAGAAAGAAAGAAAGAAAGAAAGAAAGAAAGAAAGAAAGAAAGACAAACAGAAAAGGTGAGGCCCAGTGTAAGCGGCGGTGCAGGCGGAGGCCATCACTTCCTGAGCCACATCCTCTGGTGAAGCAGCTCTGCCCA